ATTCGAACCCTGTGCATCCGCATCCGGATCCGCCAACTAGTTGGCCCCATTAATCGCATTCAATGCGACTATATCCCAGGAGTGCTATTCCCCCCCTTTCCTTCCTCATCCCCTTCCCCATCCCCCTCCGCTGGCCATTGAAATCCGCGTTGAATGGAATTTGAAAATCGATAAATGGCAATAGCGACGGAAATTGCTGTTGCATGGCGGTTGACACCGTGTTAATGGGCCACTTATAACGGCATTGTTAGTGCTGGTTTGGTTGCACACGGATCTTGGTTTCCTCTGCCCCCCGAGCCCCTTTGTAGCCCCCTTATCCATCGCTTTTAACCTTGTTAGCCGACCGCTGGAGCCTTTGCAGCTGCTTCTGTTTTTGGCCAAAGACGACACGTGCCCCGTTCCGAAGGCATGAATTATAGAGACGCGCACCTTGGATTTCGGGCACCTGGAAGGTGTTTCGCCTGAGCTGCCGCTAATTAAATTTAATTTAAAACAAAGCTCGGCATTTCGTCAACGTTCCTCCTCGAGCGGAGGATCCCTATTGCCATCTCATAATTGACGACTGCTGTTGGTGGTGGCGAGGAAACAGAGTCTTAAATTACCACAGGCAGAGTGTGGCAACACATTCGGCTTTTTTGCCCAATCAAATTAGATTCCGCAAAACGTATTACCTTGAAACACTGAAAAAATAACAGCAGTAATTATTTGGTGCAACATCCAAAAGCATTGTAGATATGAAAGCTGGTTAAGCGTTGAAAGTGGTAAGCTACCTTAACAAATAAAAGTCTTGGGTCTTAGAAAAAAAATTCGCAAAAGAAAACTTTAGATCCCGATTGTCCGTATTTATTTATTTATTTTTTGCAGAAGTTCGCAATTTATTAAAAGTCTATTCAATTTCGTTTTACGTATAAGTAAACACTTTAAATTTCATAAAAAAGCTACTCCTCGAGAAATTTTCTGAATGACTTATGATTTTTGTTATATAATTTGAAATTTTAGTCAAATTTAAAAAGTCCTATTTATACCAAATATTCATTATTTTTTTGCGTATAAACAAAAATATTAGATTTTATTAAATGGGTAATTCTGGTGAAGTTATTATCTTGATTTACGTAAAATTAAAGTTTTACAATTTGGCAAATAATTTAACATTTTTCTACAGATTAATAGTTAGTTTAGATAAATGATTAGTGATGTTATAACATCTATATAGACACAAATGTATAGCCAAGCCTTCTCAAACTTATGTTTCAAAATTCAATTTTCTCAGTGCAAGAGCAAGGATGACGCCCGTGGGCCAAGGAATAGGGACCATGGTGGATCCGGCGCCGGACCTTCCGCTAAGTACCGAGACATGTTATTGGCTTGTCTGTTTTTTGCCCTTGGTGTTTGTCTCCGTGTGTGCGTATGCTCGGGATCCTCCTTTTTCTGAGCCGCAGGACCAAGTCAAGGAGCCAAAGCAGGAGCAGCTGGGTCAGACTTAGTCGCTGTCTAAGCGAAGGCAGGTGGCTCGAGCCAATGCCGATTAAAACCACCGATCCCTGGGCATTGTCTAAAAAAATGTAAGAGAACACAAAGGAGCAGAAGACAAGAAGAGAGAAGTGGAGGGGGAACTAACGCTTTTATGCTTAGTAAATAAACCAAAGTCGGGCTTTAATATTCATTGATCATTTGCTGAGCCAATAACCAATTAAAACTCTACCTAAGACATATCCCAAGGCCATTGAATAAAATATTCCCCCTGCGAGTGCACGAGCACCTTCAATTGGAGTTCCAGTTAAGATGTATATCTTCGGGCCATGTCTGGACCGCTCACACACACAGTTCAGGTATTTGTTTACCGTTAGAGAGGGCAATCAAAACGGCAATCCCCTCGAATTTAGGTGGATCAACATCCAACAGCCAACATCCACATCCAAAACGAAGGTGCCCCACTTTGAAGGCCAGCGGCAGGCAATCGATCGGCACAAAGCCTATTATTAAAATTTAGGTCTGATCTTATGTAGTATGTGTATGTGGTATGTAGTGTGTAGTGTGTAGTATGTGGTGCATGTGCGTAATTGCCCGTCCCAATCCAGCGGTCGCGATCCTTCTCAAATTAAAGTTTACTCCTCCCTTCGTTAGGGGGAAAGTTACCTGCGGCCGGAGTTAGATCCAAAACAATATCAAATTTAGGAGGCTTTCGCATGAGATACGGTTTGTTTTCATCAACAAATTGTATACCTATCGCCACAATTGGGGCTATTCACGAATGCATAAACATTAACCACTAAATTATTGAACAAGCAAATGTAATAAATTAAATAATTAAGAAAAAGAAAACAAAGAAATTGTTTATTGTTATTTTAAATCCAATTACTCATGTTCTTCTTCGAAGAACAGCATTAAAAAGAAACTGTATTTGATATTGTTCCAGGAAACTGAAATTTATTTCGTTTGCATATGATACATTAAAAAAAGGACTTTCAATTTATGCACTCTATATACAAATTTACGATATATTCTTTTGGGTCAATTAGGATTTTCATAATAACTGAACGCAGGTCAAACACGAGTTATGACTTATAGACGGCATAAATTGACAATAAAAATTTACATTTGTTTCTCAATTGTGGCAAAGAAGACTACACAGACAAAAAAGGGTCATATTGACCTTGATATTAAAATAAATCAATATGAAATAAAAGTTGGTTATAAAATTTGGTACCATTGCATAATAAATGCTAAAATAAAAGTTATATACTATTACTCTGTTCAACGATGATTCACTGGTTATTCTTATTATTCATTTTTGAGTATTTAGAAACTCTTGTTGAATTAAAAATTGAGTTGTATAAAAAACGAAGTCTCCAAAGCCAAATTTTATTGTTGGTTCCTGTATTCGCTAAGGCGACTGATCTGTTCTGTGAAACGCTGGTAGATGTCGCCACAAGTCTGTGTACACTGATGAGAAAACTGTAATACGATGTTACTGCTTACAGTGAAATGGCAACGCCGGGATGGGGAGGCTGGCAACGCCGGGATTGGGAGGGTCGTCTTGAGGGTCTGATTTCGAGTCGGGAGGCTTGGGAGCGTTTCCTACGCTTTTCTGAGGGTCTCCCAGGGTGGTGGCGGGTGTGGGGGAGCGGGGCGCAACTTTTGGGGGGCCTCACGCTGGTGGCCGAGTTCGGAAAACTGAGAAATTGGGGAAAAACCGGTAAAGTTCAGTTTGACGGTCTGGCAGCACTGTATTTTGCACATGGGTAACACACGCGACGGGAAAACTGGTGTATTCGATCACTTTCCACGGAAAACTGATCGCGGGGACCTGCCCCCCACCCCCGGCTCCCGTCGTCGTCACTTTTTTCTCGCGGAAAATGCGGCGGAACGGAGAATTTCGCGACACACAGATTTCAGGTCCAGGCAGTGTGACCACCTTTGGGTTTAACGCAAATATAGGCGCTTTCTGGCCAATTTCGAATGGCGTTACGGGACTTTCTGCGTTTTCTCCAATGTGGTCATACAGTTTTTACGCCGTTGTTTAAACTTTTTAAGTGACAATACTTGCGTTTTTTATATAATGGACCTTTTCAGGCTTAAATTCTTTGCCATGCCGCACCTGCGCGCCCAGGTGGAAAAGCACCTCCCACAGGTGGATGATCCGCTCCGGCCAAGCGGGATCCTTAAAAACTTGGACGGCGTAAATCGTTTTAAGGATCACGGCAGGTGTTTCTACCTGATGGTAGACGTCATACACCTGACTGGGGTGGGTTCCAAGTCTTGTGTATTTTTTTTAACAATTTAATTAAAGAATTTAATGATGGGAACCTCAGATGACGGGTCCGTGAAACAGGTTGTTTACACCGAAGTGGTAAGTAGCCCCAAATATCTAAAACTCATGCATATGTACTTAAATATATTTATTTACCTATGTAGAAGAAAAGTACATATACGGCCATGCAGATCATGGCGGCGTTTGAGCAGGTGCGGGAGGCCATCGCATTAGTGGAGTTTGAAAAGCATTTAATTGCAATTATTGTGGACGATTGCCCCAACAACGCCTTGCTTCATGTCCACAGTGGCTATCCGGTGATGGCAGACCTAAACCACCTGGCCAAAATAGTCGCCGCGGACATGAAGCATGTGCTGCAACTCCTGCCCAATATCCACACGCGGATAGTTTTCCGGGAGCACAACGCTCAGCAGAAGCTGGAGCTGGCCTGGAGCGGGAAGTAATTTAATTAGTTAGAATGGAAATGCCAAAGCGAAACTTCAAAATAGTGAAGTGTCACAGTTTTGTTTTAATAGTTTGATTATGGTTTCACAACTTTGCTTTCGATTTTATTCAGTTATAAACTTGATTCAGCTTTTTTGAGTATATGCTCATATTAATATATGTCCTGGACGTCCTTTCAACTTCATAAAAAGACTCCCACCGACTTGTATGACTTCAATATTTCAAAATTGTCGATGGTCTTTATAAATGGGAAGAAAAAAACCAAATATGAAAAAAATGTCTTGAAACCAGTTTTTCCATATTTGGTTTTTCAAATGTATATTTTTTAAACAAATTTTCAATAGGATTTTACTTTTGGTTGTTGGTCATTTCTGGGACACCTTTGAGAATGAATTCTTATTATATATGTATATTCGTTTCTAACATAAATCAAGAACCGTGTAATTATTTATTTCATACTATCCATACCGGCTCAATAGATTATTTCTTATTAATTTAATAGCACCTTGCACTTAAGAACAATTATTGAATTGTTTTATGATTAACGTGCAAAAGAGGGACAGACTGCATGGAGACTCAGTGAATTTTTGTCATATTGGGTGTTAATTGTCTGCAAGACCGCTAAACCTCAATCTCCACAAGTTTTCACCTAGTTTAATTTTCTGTGTTGGCACTGCAGTTTTTCGAGCGTTCATAAAAAATGCTTAGTTTTAGTTTGGCACACGCATGACCCTATAAGAGTGCCTCGGTCAGGTTGTAAAGTAACAGTTGTAAAACACAGAATTCAACATGAAGATCGTTGCTTTGATTGTCGCTGCTTTTGTGGCCTTTGTCGGTGCCTCGTGCCCGAATTCCGGGTATCCGGCACCTGCCTGCCCCACGAACTACCTGTTCAGCTGCCAGCCCAACTTGGCGCCAATTCCATGTGCCCAGGAGCCAGCCGCCTACGGATCCTCCGGAGCCTACACGGAGCACGTGCCCCTCTACGTGGGCAACCCCAACAAGGAGCAGCGGGAGCAGTTCCAGCAGAGGATTGGCATGGCGGCTCTCATGGAGGAACTGCGCGGCTTGGGCCAGGGAATCCATGGTCAACAGTTCTAGTGGTGGGATAACTTAAGGACATTCGGTAGATTGACCTGTGTAAACTGTAATTGAACTGGAAATACCACTGTAAATAAAGCTATTTAAAAAAATAATAATTTTTATTTTTCACTTTTACTTTTCTTTGTTCAGCCCGACATTTTCAAGAAGAACAATCAATTAAATAAATCGAATTTAATATCAGTTATCATATTCCTGGAATGAAAGTATTCTTTCATAAAAAGATGCTAAATTTATCAGTTTAGAATTTATTTAAAATTGGTCAATTTTGTTTTTACAGTATTTTATTTTATGTTACTCTTATAATACTAGAATCACTATGCTTTCTGCATACAACTTAAAACTAGTCTGGTTTTTTAATGAATTTGAAGAAGAGAATAATTATTTTGTTTCTCTGCAGAAGGTAGGGCGCAAATGCACTCCTTACAAAACAGGCTTTCTGAAGTTACTTTAAATGATTATCAAAAATATAAAATTTTTGTACTAAAAATATTTTTAAAATATTATAAGCTTTCGAACGCGAATCCCCACTTAAATAACGTTTTCAAGAAGAAATACTCGAACAGTTCCAACATTAAATTTGCAATATTTATATCTCTGAGCGAAGATTCTTGTAAAAATTTCTCGCGAGTAGAAGAATACTTAGATTTCTCTGCCAACGAATTGTCACCTCGTCGGGTGTATTTATATTATTACTGCAGCCGTCATTAAACAGATTATTGAAAACCATTTGCCGAGCATTTCACCTCTTGAATTTCCCATTACTAAATGAGTCTCTGCGACTGAATCTCCCACAGATCCGCTCTCGGTGATTTTTGTCAATGGACGCGGCGCGGGTGCCAAAAATATTGTCAGTCGAAATTGCTGTCTTGTGCGGTCGGTCGTTTCTCGTCTCCGCCGCGATCCGCTCTGATCTGCTCCACATTGCCTGGCCAAAGCAGTCGCAAGTGGTTCCCTCGTTTGGATCGCCTATATAGCCCCCGATATTCGTGCACATTTTCCAGCAGTGGGGAAATTGCAGGATGGCGGTGCCCGTTTTCAAATCGGTGCCATGTGTCGGGCTCTAACTCTGCCCTATTGTGACCCCATTTGATATGCATACGTGTGTGTGTGCTTGTGTTTGTGTTTGCTTCTTGGCCATTTAACGATTAGTGGCTATAACGCCTGAGTGTTTGTTTATTTTGCTGCGCGACCGCAAAGGCGATTCCAAAAATGATTGCATAATTGACTTGTGGGGACAATTCGCGCGAGACGCACCACACATTTCGACTTCGACTTCGATTTCGATTCCTATTTCGTTTGTGATTCCAAGTGTCCAAGATGAAGAAGCTGCATCTGGGGGCCAAGCTCAAGGGCAAGTCCTACAAGCCCTTTAGGAACAAGAACCGTCGGGTGAGTTAAAGTAAAAGATCAGAACCCCCCCTCATCGCTATTTTAATGTCGCGGCCCTGCCCCCGGGCCCGGGCGGAATCCGTATATTTTTATCCACTCGATCGCTCGCAGACTGCTCGCCCAGCCTGTCAGGCTGTTCACGACCATTTAAATACATGCACACGGAGTGGCTACAGTGCGTATCAGAACGAAGTGGCAACCAGGCGTATGAGCGATCACCCAAAGACTATCGGGTGCGGTATTGCTCATACGACCAGTTTTCCGATCCGAAAATTAATAATGGCGATAAATTATTAAGTTATTTGTTTTTCTATTTAAAAATAATTCACTTTCCCTTTAATGACAAAAACAAGACCTTTAAATAGATAAAAATAATTTAAAATTTAAAAGTGAAGAATAAAGAGTTTGTAAAAACAACTTTTCTTTTTATTATTACATATTTTTTAATTTATTGTTTTTCATCTGGTTAATTTTTTCTAAGCTTAGACCTGAAAAATATGGTGGGGGTGTTTCATCAACAAGAAAGTTTTGCTTTCAATTGTGACAGACGTTTTATAATTTGATTATAGTTATTAGAAAGTTCATTCGTTAACTAGACCTGGTACAGACTTAAAATGTCTTCTTTGAAAAGCATAACATTACAAGCAGTTAAAATGGCTACACTTATTCCGTGCACTAGGGTCAAAATTTTAGTGATTTAAGAGAATTCGAGTCCAAATTGCAATATTTACAGCGTTAACAATAAAGTTTCCTGTGACACTTGATTTTATTAAAGCTGATGGCTTCACATTCTCTAAGTACTTCAATTAAAAAAAAATTTTACTAGAAACTAAAAAGTGTTGCTAACTGAAAAATGTATGTCCGGTGGTGACACAAAAATCTCTGGTTGAAATTCGTTTAAAATTAGCATAAGCATTCCAAACGAATTTTAACCTAAGAGATTTCTGAGATATCTTCGACTAATAGTGCTGTAATATAAATATAAGGAAAAAAGAGAATTATAAATTTTATGGTTATCTAAAAATATTTTGTTTTGCTATCTAATAAATGACACATTTCCTCGAGTTATTTAATTCTAATACCCACTGTATTTCTATGACTCTTTCGTGAGGTTTTTTTACGTTTTCTTGGTTCTCTCAAAGACAATTTGCGGGCCAAAGAGGCTATCACTCGCCTTACTCATCTTTGAATTCTGCACGGCATGCTCATAAACCTAGTCAATGTTGATATTTTTGCCGCACTCGTAAACCACTTTACATATTCTCGGTTTCCCCTTCTGCAAATTTTCACTCGTGACGTGAATGCTTTACATAAAGAGCACATGATATAAAATATAAATTATTTTAAAGTTTAAGTATTATTTCAAATAAATGGCATGCTTTCCATTCCTTTGATAATGCTGAGCTCCACCGAAATAATATGAAAATATTTAATTCCGAAGTGTCATTGATAATGCTGAGCTCCACCGAAATAATATGAAAATATTTAATTCCGAAGTGTCACACTTGAGATGAAAATATAACTTTAGTATAAACATAAACTGGTCAGAAATCATTAGAAAGTTATAAGATGCATTAATTTTCCATTGTTGCGTACAACTTTAATTTAACTGTCAGAGGAGGAAACAAACACCTTCTAACGCATTTATTGCCACCGCGATCATTTAAGCCATCTTACAAACGCTGACAGCGAAACAATGCAAAACGGCAGGTGGGGATGTGGAGTGGTTTGCTGACGAGCGGTCATCGGCAGAGCCGGAAAAGTGGAAAGCAATCGAACTGACCATGAAAATATTTGTCAAGGGGCGCTGGGAGGGAAATTGCACTGGCATCCAGAGCGTTGACCCACCCGCAGAAAAAACTAGCAAACAAAGGGTGGTGGTGGGTGGCATGTGGGTGGCGCTGAGGTATCGATGGCAACCAAAGTTCATTACAAGTTGTTGGGCACTTTGCCCATTGCGAAGTTTGATGGGGCTTTTGGGTATTCGTCGAAAGGTAAACAAAGAATCGACCGAGTACACCCCGCCCCACCCCCGCAATAGCGATTTAAGGGGGGATCCCCTTTTGTTTTTGGAATCGCCTTTTGGAAATGTGTAAACGCAAATTGGGACCATCGCCCGCGACCTTCCCCGTTAACTGTTAAATGGGGAGAGGAGAGCCAGGAAACGAGAGTGAGAAGAAAGCAGTGAAAGCCGACGCCTGCGCAGAGGAAAAGTGGAGAATTGACTCCTGCGCATGCTTCCTCTCTCTTTTTCTCTCTCCGCCCAGTGAGCTGTCAATCTCTCTCCGCTCGTCTGGAAGTAATATCGCGCTCTCTCGCCTCCTGTCACTTTAAGTGAGAAAATGGAAAGCGGAATGTTTACGTTATGGGCACAGTGTGATAAGCAAACACATTGAAATAAACCCAACTACAAAGAGGTTATCATCCCTAAAAAAAAAAACTTTTACCAATTTGAAATATATTTTGTAAGGCTGATATTACCTACTACGGCTTGACAGGTTTAATTGTTGTTTACTTGAACAAAAAGAACCAAACAATTTTGCTTGGTAAGGATTATATTTACCTTAGTTTTCACATGGCGAGAGCTATTATTTCAAATCAAAATAAACTTTAAAACTTATCTCTTAAAACAAAAAAAAACTGAAAAGCCGGAAATATTAAAAATAAAAGATCAATATTTTATTTTTCTATGACTTTTTATTGGAGTCAAATTGACTTCTATTGACTATTGAATATATCTTAAATACGTTTTAGGAAATGCCAATTATAAATTTTTGACCATTTTTGCGTTCCTGATGTTAAGGCCGATCTATATGCTTGTTTGTGTAAACTAGACTTATAAGTATATTATTGCACATTTTCCGACATTGATCTTTAAACTAATATAGAAATATTTTTGTAGATATTCTTTGTAGATATTCTTCTTCTTGGAATTAGAATATGAGGAACATTGCCATTTAAATGTATTCCAGTTAATATTTAAAATAAATGTTTTAAAGGATTAGCGGTGTTAAAATGATACAAAACAAACAGAAAGATAAAATATTTATTTTGCAATCATATTTTAATTCATTTGAAATTGTATTTAGAAACAACAAGGAGAGCTACAAAATGAAAGATATAAAAATGTTTCCATTTCACCTTTAAAAACTCTTTACTAATACATAAGTAAAACCTTGTGCAAGAGCTTTCTAAATGGTACTCCAAGTTATAATTTAGTATCAAAATGATAAATAACTAAACTTTTAAGAGACATATCATATTAGGTTAAACCTTTAATCCAGGGCCCCTTATGTTTAAGAGGCATATCAAATTTAGTTAAACCTACAATCTAGCATTAGAACAAACCGTTTTGCACTTACATACATCTGTAATCAGCTATTATCGTACTCATACTGATGTATGAATGGCCTGCGACCAACAGCTGTAACCCTTTTGGGAGCGTTTGGCGCTCGCGGCCGATTGTCGGGGTTGCCAACAGGTGGACGCACTGCCACCCCCCTTTTCCACCCCGTTTTTTCCGGGAAAGTGCTGGTGCTATCGATTTTCCAGGCATACCGCTGACCAGCGATGACAGCGCGCTCATTTCAATGGAGATTTTGTTTTTATGGAGGTTTGGGTGGGTGGAAAATCTCACCCTTTGTAGCACAAACAACTCCAGTCGCACAGTGGGACGATTCTACAAAATTTGCACTTGAAAACTAAATTTGTTTACATTCGTGATGGCTTGTGTGTGTGCGGGAATGTCCATATATCTACATATGTATGTATATCGCTCGAAACGAGTGGATCATTTACGCACTGGAAGCGGACGAGAAAACTCTACACGATTTTCCCAGAGCGGAGCGCACTTTTCGCCTTCCACATACAGAAACAATTCAGTTTGCGTGCGGAGTAGAACCGTTTGAATGTCGGAAAGGCGAGGGTCCAAATCGAATCGAAATCAAAGGATGTGGATCGAGTGAAATCCTGTTAAAGATAGCCCACGAATCGGCACAGGATATAGCTAGTGAAAGGGTTCAAAGACGGAAGGATTCGGTTGATTTTCTCAGAATCAAAAACACGGCAACGCTCAACGGAAATCAGTTTTCGCGACCTATTCGCCTGTTCACAACCCCCCACCTCCGCCCGAGTTTTCCAGTACATTTTGTGTGCATATACTAGAAAAAGTGATGTGAGCAGAGAACCGCGACCCGACGCCACTGACATAAATTCCTATTTTTAACTTCCCTGGGGCCAATCCCCACCGATGCGGAATCAATTCCGATTCGCCAGCCATATGCAAATCGAGCTGAAATTAAGACAAGAAAAGGCTGCGGAAATCCCTTCCAGTTAACAATTTAAAGTTATTTCGCCTGTGGCTTCCAGACCGTTTGACAATCGCCTCTCTCTCTCTCTCGCTTTCTATCTCTGTCCCTCTCTATCGCGGACTTTCCCACTCGCACACTTGGTATCGGTGTTTTTGTGTCAGTGTCAAAATCGAATTCCGCCTAACCCGATGATTACAGTCGTTAACCGTAGAATATTGCCAATGTCAATGCTAATCATACGCAAAAGTGCAATAACTAAATTTTTGTGTCCTGCCAAAAAAACCAGTTGAAAGTGGAATATGCCATACAAATTTTGTATATGCCTGAGCAACCAAATCAGTGTGCTTTTATAGTATTTTTACAACATACAAACTAATGGTGATTGCAATCTAACCAGTTCGCATTGGTTTCATAACGTGTTAAGTGTGCAGAAAGGCAGTTTTTTTCTTCCGAATAAGTACGAAAATATCCCCCCGAAACACTCGTCTTGCCAACTCTAAGCTCGCCGAAAGCTAATAGTAAAAATAGTCTTGGAACACACATACATACGTTACCATTGCCAGCTCAACGTCGTGCCACCTCAGCCATCATCACCATCATCAGCATCGCACCATCTGGTGGTGCTGGTGTTGCTGTTGCTGTTGTCGTCGCACCGGGTCGTCGGAAACATCGGCAAGATATCTTCGTTCGAAGAAGACTACCGGGCTGATAGGCCCATGGTGCAGCGCGCCTCTTCCTCGGATGCACCCTCCGTTCAGGGTGGCCAACATCGAGAGTCTCGATTTGGCCTTGGATACCCCTCCTACCAGAGTGGATATAACAAACTATTCACACAGGTGCTGAAAACAACATCCATAGGATAATAACTAGTCTGAGTTATATAAATATATATGAGTGATTTTTTTTATTGTTAACATTTTGACAATACTATTTTCATCTTTATGAATTGAAATGATTTAATATTAAAAAAAAATAGTAAACCATAATCTATATCGATGAGCAAATAGGGAATGTTTAAATTATGTTTATAATTTGGTTTTACATTTTCACTATTTTCATTTGTAAAACAAACCAAACGTTTTATTGCATTTTGGTGGGCAACAATTTTATTCGAAAACAAAAAAATTGTATTTTAAGCTAGTTTTAAAGTTTTCAAAGATTATTCTTTTGCTTTCAACTATTTGTTCAAAGGCAACACTGCGTATGAGTGATACTCTTTGAAGCTTAGACCCTTAAAGCATATTTTCCACAAGGGGTTGAGAGTGGGACCCTGACATTCGACTTATAGCACATTAAAATTGAAATAGAATTATAATAATGGAGTAAAAAGTATTTTTAAATCGTACATAGGAGTATAAGAAAGACAAAGGAACGTATCTAGCCCGATATTTTTTCCAAACTTCAGCAGCCAGATTAAAACTGCTAATCCATCTAATTTAATTTGGAGTTCTGATTTCTATTTGGATAGGGCAATGAGTTAGTCCTTAAAAAAAAGGCCTACACATATATAATTTTAACTCCATGATTAGCTTTTAATGGTCCAACAAAATATATTACCATTACCAAAAAAAAAGTGAACAAGTTTTCCCTAAGGAATTTTGAATGCGTGAATCATAATTACTTTGAAAACGTAATTATACAAGCTCTTGACTCATGTCAAAACATTTAGCCTTCTCCATTGGCTATATATGGCCCATGTACTTGCCACCAACTGTTGCTTCATGAGCGGCAACAAGAAATAATCAAAATCATACATAGTGCGCTGCATTGTTTTGCCACTTGGGTTGGGCTGGGCTTTTGGCAGCAGGCCAATTTAATTTGTTTTGATTTTCAGATGGCTAGGCAAAATTATTTATCTAAAGTGCAGCCCTATTTAGCCAGAATAAGTTATTTACAGACCACCGTTCTTCTTACCTTTTCCAGGGTTCTGCCGACTCGAACTACTCACAACCGTCATCCGATCTGTCGCTAGACGAGGAAAAGGAATCGCTTCGGCGAGAAAAGGAACGTCAGGCCTTAAGCCAGTTGGATAAAGCGAGGGTGAGTAGTTACTTTACTCTTAATCTTACAAAACATGGCCATAAAATAAAATAAAATAATTTAATCAATTATTAATGAATTGGACAAGATTAATAACTTGTACAAAATGTTATTGTAAATGTTATTAAGCTCAATTACAATTTATTAAACGTAAATATATTTGCTGATTTATTTAGCATAAATACAATTTTGTTTACTAAGTTTTTCTATTAAAAGATAGAAATGACAATTACTTATTTTTAAATGAACCTTTAAGAAACATAATATCATTTAAATGAATTCATATCCAAATGGAGATTTAAGGTATCTCTATCTATTAAAAGATTAGTACAGATTAATTTGTTAAAAATATGTTAACTCAATACATATTAAATGATTTTTTATTTTGTGGCGTTTTAACGGAAGATAATATAAAACCAATTACTAATCGATTCCTCCATTATCAGAGCAAACCAGTGGCGTTCGCTGTGCGAACCAACGTAGCATACGATGGCGCCATCGACGACGATTCCCCGGTGCAGGGCGGCGCAGTTTCGTTCGAGATCCGGGAGTTCCTGCACATCAAAGAGAAGTACGACAATAACTGGTGGATCGGCCGGCTGGTCAAGGAGGGCTGTGATGTGGGCTTCATACCCAGCCCCGCTAAGCTAGACAACATTCGCATGCAGGTTGGATGCAAAGAAATACCTCTTGTGTAATCATTGCCAGTGCTAATCTACTTCCGAAACCATTCCAGAACCAAACCAGACCCTCAAGACTGTATGGCACAAAGGGCTCGTCGAGCGGGAATCTTGGTGCGGGCGGACAAGCAGGTGCGGAGCCATCTCGAGGTAGCACACCCCCCACACCTGGTATGACACACATTTCATTCTCCTGATTTCTTTTGGGCGAGGTTTTATTTCGTATCTGTTCAATTCTGTGAATCGAATTAATTTCAATCTATATATTTTTTCGCTGTCTTCTATGTAATGTGTTTACTTTTGTAAATCGTCACAGAAGGGCCTCCTCCGGGAGGCCCAGTATGTTTATGAGCATCCATAGGTCCGACAGGCGGATGCCGAGAGCCCGACTCGAGCTCTTCGATGTTTATTGTAATTGGACGCGTGTTTTATGATTTTCATTTGAAGCGAACCAAATCAGAACCTAAAAAGTGGGCCATGCTAAATTCCCGTAATTTCGTACTTTTGTGTTTGATCTAATTATATCATGCGACATCCATAAAACGAGTGCAAGTTTATGCTTTACGATGAGTTCACCTGGCAATCCGATGCGAATCCGACCCTAGTAATGCAAACGGTCTTTATATCGGCCTGGAGCTAGTCCAAGATCCCAGCATGAAAAGCCGAATCCTTCTGCAGATCGGCCTAGACTGCCTGTACCCTTTTCACGATTCACCACTGTAAACACACAAAAGTACACACCTGTTTAATAGCTTAAATAGCCACAATTTTCTCCGTCCTAGTTTGTCTAAATCAAAGCTCCTCGTTCATGGTCTGCTTGTAAATTAACCCAGCCAATGTGAACACTATTAAATGCACTCAAACTCTCTTTTATCTAACACAAACGGTTGACAACACTAACAAAATGAACAACCACAACGCGACCCAAGATCCCTACAGTACAACACCGCGCAAGAAAAAAACAGGTTTGCCCACGTCTCTCATCAGAACCTCAGAAATCCATCTCAATCGCAAAATTTATCGCTAGCTCTTGCAGTGAGATTCAGGAAACTATAAAAACTGAAATTGTTGAAAAATGTAACTCTTTATCAAAATGGGATACCACTTTCGAATCATTAGCTTGATAATGATATTTAGAATACTTTTAGGGTAATACCTATGTTCTTTAAAATGACTTAATTTCAGAACAAAGGTTCTTTTGCAGTAAGCTACTTCACTTGTAATTATTTGAATTTTAAAAGCTTATGTCATTCTACATAAGATATAAATAAGGAAATTTAATGGATTTTTCAAAGACTTATTAACCAGTTATTATATTTCAACTTTTAAAACAATTCAACTCAATCTAATTTTCGTAAGTAATAAATTCAATATCTTCAAATGTAAAAAACACTCTCATTCCAAAATACATCTGTCTGTAAACCTTACAATATGTACTCCTAGCTCTGAAACACGCTGGTTATTGTCGTATTTAATCGCTGTATGTAATCCAAAAAGAGTTTTTAATATCCCACTAACTAAAACCCGTACTTAGTTACCGATTATCTATAGAGTTGTGTAAAGTCTAAGCAAATAGAACACTTTATATTCGAGTAGAAATAAGTTAATTATCGTAGGAAGAAACCTCACCCTCGAGTTGGCATTTTGAACAGCATTAAATGGTGCGTAGACCGGTAAACAAAAGAGACAAAAATTCAAATCAACCTTAAATTCCGAACCAACCTGGCACAAGACACACACCGAAACCCACCGATCGCAGAGGAAATCACTGCGACAATTCAAAACACTGTATATATAGACTAACCCACAAGCGTCTTACGTATTTACGATAATATATAAATTGGCCTAGCAATTCGTACTGATCGATCGCACTGGCTCGTACCAATCATAAGCTCGCTCATCCGTTGCCATTATCTCGTCCTGTTTGCCATGATACTAACGCTCAGGTGACGAATCAGATTCCATGGGACCAGGACGACATGGCAAGACCCCGGTGGCGGCGGCCAACAAGGAGAAGCGCAAGCCGTTCTTCAAGAAGCAGGAGACGGCCAGTCCCTACGACGTGGTGCCCTCGATGCGCCCGGTGGTCCTAGTGGGGCCCAGTCTCAAGGGCTACGAGGTGACCGACATGATGCAGAAGGCCCTCTTCGACTTCCTCAAGCACCGCTTCGAGGGCCGCATCATCATCACCCGGGTGATGGCCGACATCTCGCTGGCCAAGCGCTCCATCATGAACAATCCCTCGAAGCGGGCCATCATGGAGCGATCCTCCAGCCGGAGCGACTGCCTCGGCAAGGTGCAGGAGGAGATCGAGCGGATCTTCGAGCTGGCCCGCTCGCTCCAGCTGGTCGTGCTCGATTGTGATACAATCAATCATCCGTCACAACTAGCGAAAACTTCATTAGCGCCAACAGTAGTGTACTTAAAGATTAGTAGTAGTAAGGTGAGTTCTTCACTGTTTATAATTTTAGCTTACTGATTACTAATATCGATCGTTTACGCAGGTTTTACAGCGTTTGATCAAATCACGTGGCAAGTCGCAGGCGAAAAACCTCTCCGTTCAAATGGTCGCCGCCGAGAAGCTAGCCCAATGTCCACCGGATATGTTCGATGTAATCCTAGACGAGAATCAGCTGGAAGACGCCTGCGAGCACATTGCCGAGTACTTGGAGGTGAGTTCGTAATTGTTAATGATTAATGCCTATTAGTTGTCTTATTATTTCCTAACAATAATTCAAAAATACAATTTTACATAAACAATTATTTATCAACATTCCCGGAGCAATTATATATTGAAAAAATATTACGTATACGCAATAAAATATATTACGTATACGTATATGGTAAAAGTGGAAATCCGAATTTTAAATATCGGCAATATATTTGAATACGAACTTTAATATATAAACAATATTTTATTAATTGTGTGGACTTATATGTTTTAACATCCTATATGTTTTAACATCGACAAATTATTACTGAATAAAAATTGTTTTCACCTGTTTTACCTTAAAATTTTTTTTCTTAGAAATAACCTTTTTTAATGTTAGTGCTAATAACGGTACAATGTAAAATATATTTTTATGTTAAGTTTATTATTTTTCAATAAGATATTAATTAAATGATTATAATTAATAATTGATTATTGTTATCGAGCATATTACTACTTAAGTCTTAAGCTTTGCAGCTGAACTTTCATAACCGAGCTTCCCTGACTCGAAGTCTGTATAGGTCAAACAAATTGTATTGCCTAACGGGAGTGTAAATGCACTAGAAACATATTCTATAACTTGAAGTCAGTATAACTATACCTTTTTCTTTGTCCCAGATTATGGTTTGAGTTATGGAAGTAACCCCATATAATTTCTTAAATAAAATTTTGTTTAAATAGAACGTTATTAAAGCAACATATGATTCTTTGCAGACCTACTGGAAGGCCACCCACCCGGATATACGAGCAGTGCCGCCCATCGCCCGCCCCCTGCCGCAGGAGGCCTCGCCCTCCGCCGATCCCGCGCGTCTGGGTCCGACGCCTCCAGGTAAAGGCACACCTGCCCGTCCGACCGGGCTCATTTACGGTCGCATTGCCATTTTCATTCGCGCGATTCCACCAAGTCCCAGCCCAGGCCCAAGAAGCTGCGAAATTTCAATCAAATCAATATCGAAATCGAAATCAGAGTCACCCATTGTCTCACCCCCAATTCAAACGAAAACTATCCGACCCATTAAACACATATCAGTATATGTATATATATATACCGGCTGTATGTATGCATATACCGGAAATCAGATCAGCAGTAAATAATTTTCATTTGCTTCTCAACATACTCAACACAATTATACAAAATACAATTCTAAAATTTGTCTTTTTCAAATTCAAATTCCCATGACTGTACCGATAAACCAATCGATTCTCCTTCTGGCTCTCTCTTTCCCACCGCGCGGCATTTTTGAGAGCAGTAGATGGCGAGGAGTTTATCGATGAGCAGGATCCCAGGATGGGCATCTCCGGCGGAGAGCGCGAGGGAAGTCGGGAGAGAGATCGCGATCGCGATAGCAGGGAGAGGGAGCGGGAGCGCGAGAGGGAGCGGGATTACTGGGATCGGGAGTTCAACCGAGATCGCAGCTCCAAGGATCGCGAGAGGGACCTCGAGTGGGAGCGGGAGAGGGCTCGCGAGTGGGAGAGAGAGCGGGAACGAGATTGGGATAGGGAGTTCGATTGGGACCAAGGTAAATTTCGCTTATACTGTTTCTTTTCGTTTCGTTTCCTTTTTACCGATAATATATACGTAAACTCATTAAGTATCACATGCCTCTAGATTCGAGTCAGTATTTAGAAAGATTAAATTTGGTCGTTGTAAGGCCCGTAGGCTTAGCTAGAACTACCTTGTCCCGCGATATAAGCCAGTTGAATATGTAGTCCATTGCAACTCTCACACATTATTGTACATAGATGCAGGTCAAAAGTAGCTTCGGTACCCCCAAAACGACATATCGGCCCACATCTCCACCCATCGATTGTATGTAGCTACAGCTCATGGCATATTTACAAATCCCAGCTTTCTAGACACCTTTTGTACATATCTATACTGAAACTCCGGTATCCTCAACTTTTCGTTTATTTCTATTGTTCTTTTGTGACCACACTTTACAGCATTCACAGCACGTGACATACCCGGTCCCTTTACAACAATGCTATAGATCAAAACGAGTTCAAATCCAACCACCAAGACCAACACAACTGCGACATCAACAGTACAAAGTAAAAGACAATCGATTCCGAATTGAAATCAAAATCAAAACCAAATGAAATGGAATAAGCAAAAGCACCCACCGACCGACATCTCCGACGATCTCCACAAGTAAAACTCTTTGCCAAGAACTCCAGATGAATTATGCTCGAGATAACAGATGCATAGAACCCATAGATTGCCCACTAACTCTAGCTGACTAAGATTACCTCTTTGCCGTTGAGTTCTACTAACCGACTAATACCGATTAACGCTCGCAATCGTCGAAACCCCAGCGCTTCCTCAAGCATCTGACATCAATCGATCCAATCGATCACCCATTCGTGCGTTTTACCGACTGATCTCTGTACTTGTGTTTTTAGTTACACCGGGCGTTGTGCGCCTTTAAACTGCCGCGATCTTCGCCAAGCTCTTCTACTCGATTTTCACATTCTTCCGGGTGTTTTCCTAGATCAGCTCAACCACACCCGAATCAGCTCAGTTATAATATGTACATGTATTCCGTTGTTGTCGATCCTTATGTTATCACCATTTCAAGTTGCAAAACCAAATCATCCAAATCGTTTAGATCTGGTTTAGTGAGTACCGAACCCCCGTGATGTGTTTTACGTTACCTTATTTGTGCAACTTGACCCCCTCTATTTTGGTTATCTTATTACTGCCCCTTGAAATCATCCTTGTTTCCCTAAACTTATACCATGCATAACTGACGCTAGGACTCGTTCGTTTGCTGTTTTTATTTCCCTTATTTTCAGCGATAAAAGATAAAGACTTTGTATTACCATTTTGAATCCTAACCAAGCGTTTCGTTTATCATTAACACTTTAGATTTAAGAGTTGATTAAATTACCACTAAAATATAGTTCAGTAAATACACAAAATCTTTTTTATAAAAATAAGTAGGATTGTTGATATTAACCAACTTATGTTTTCTTTATAACAATTCACTTTAAATGAATATAAAATTCATTATTTATTTGGAAACAAAATATTGTTTATATAAAAATGAACAAGATCATGTATTTTACAAATCGAATTAAAAGTAAACCAAAAATTCGCTGTAGCCAAACTGGTTGAAAAAAAATGTAGTCAAAGAAAATTATTAATAAGTTTTTAATACAACTTTTGTTGAGCTCAACTCCAACTTAACCTTTTTGGTATGAAATTAGTTTAGGTCAGAATTTAACAATAGTTCTTTAGCTAGAGATGGCACAAAACACAAACACATAAATGACCAATCTCCGGACATGGAGACGTTTGGCCTGTTATCTCCGCCCAACTTTCGCCTATAGACCCCTTTTCGAATGCTTTAGTTCTGGTTCTGTTTTCCGTTTTTCGTTACCCCTAAATGCATGATATCGACTACGACCTTACTAACATAATGTGTTGCCCGTCTTGCAGGAGGAACCTCTTACCAGCACAGCCGCCGACAACCGACCTCAGTTCGCCACCAGGAGCGCGGTGGTGGCGTGGGCGCCGGCGGCGGAGGCGGTGGTGGCGGCGGCGGCGGTGGCTACGAGCGGGACCGCGAGCGGGAGCGGTACGAGCGGCGAGAGCGGGACCTCATGCACTACGACATGAACAGCGACGAGCTGCTGGACGAGCGCAACTTCGAGTATCCCGCGATGCGGAGCGGTCCCAGCGGCGCCTCCCACCACGGCCACCTGTCCAGGGGCGGACGCCTGCTGGACGATCCGGACTTTGAGCGCGAGGAGGCCCAGATGAGAATGAGCAGCTCCCGCTACGGACCCTCCACCCGGATCGACGACCCCCGGGATCTGCCGCGGGGCGCCACCGTTGTCGATCGCGATGAATACAGTCCGCACAGAGGTGGTGGGAGTAGTAGGAGAATGCTTAATGCCATGTAGGAATCGTGGATATAGGGGTGGGATCAGATCGATGCGAGAGTGCCAGGTTTGATGGAAGCACGCGACAATAGTTTTGATCTTGACATGACACACCAGCCTCAGTCTCAGTCTCAAACTCAATCTCAGTCACAACAACAATCACAGTCCAGGGCCAGGTCCAGACCACTGGGCCTTCCCCGCCAATCCTCCCTGCCCAGCAACCGGGCACCCGTGTCCTACCTGCCACGCCAGTCCTCCCTGGGCACCCACTGGCTCTCCTCCTCCTCCCAGAGCACCCTGGAGCCGGGAGTGCGATCTCGCCAAGAGCTTTATCCACTGCTGCACCAGCCGCAGTCGTATCCCCAGGCCCGATCCCACTATACCCACTCGTACACGGCCGCACCCCAACACCCCCACAGTCAGTCGCGCTCCCACACCCACTCCCAGTATCGCTACTCCGTGCAGGACACGTCCTTCGCCCACCCACCTAGATCCCTGCGCGAGGAGTTCCTCAGTCCCACCATGAGCAAGGTCGAGGCTGTCACGCACGCCATCCGCAACAAGATCATCGTGGAGGAGGACGAGGAGGATATCCTGAGCACGGATCGGTTCTATTAAAGAGATTTCAGTCGCCACCCCGCGTCGATTTGGTTTGGGTAACTTTTTAGGGGGCAAGAAAGCAAATGCAGCAGTGCCAAAACACACGACACATTTGTAAATGTTCCATTCGATGATCAGATCAATTTGGTAGGCACACAATCCACACTCCACAAACACGAACAGAAACAGAAACACACAAAGTAGCTGGTTAAAGTTGAAGTGAGCGTTAAAGCGGCGGTTAAAGCAAACGTTAAAGCAAACCAAGGAAGCAGCCCAATGCCAAGTGGGGCCTTATGTGTCTTAAATGCTATAGCTAAGTGTAATCAGATTTTATTTGAATAATGTGAATTTAAATTAAATGGTCTAAGCCTAAGATTTAAGCTAGTCAACAGTTGAAAATTAAAAGTTAAGGGAGTCCGCAGCCACCCAGCAACATTTGTTGGTCCCCCAATGGGTCTCGTATTTGTTATGCAATTGATTGACTAAGTACATAAATAAGTGTCAGCTTTAATAATTTAGTGAACGTGTCTTAATCTAAGTCGAGCCACACAAACACACTCGAACACACAACACACACACACTCCGTTGACTGTGAACCGATTGAAATCTCTTTAATCTCAAACCGATGCCTTTTTCTCGCATCCATCCTATTCTTCCTCTACACAGAATTCAAGTCTTGATACTTTCTTCAGCCCATCTGCTAGGCATTCTTCTAGTTGAAAATAAACCACGTAAGACCACAGTGCGTTTCAAAGCTAGTAAATTAAAATAAATAATTTAAATTATATCCTAACATCATTTTAATAACTCAATTGGTTTTGTTTATCTTTTTAGTACAATCATTCATAAAATGATTTTACTTAATATCTAAATTTGGTGACTGATTAAAAATTGTATCTTCCAGGAATATTAGTTTCACATCTTAACCTTAGTCTTAACCTTGTCATATTCAACTTAATTTTAACTTTGGCAGACCTTGAATTTTGTATAAGTAATTATTTTAGCTTAAATGAAACGCACTGTCTAGCAAGCACATGCATGTGTAGACTTCCTTCTTCCAACAGCAATACTTTCGACCTAGATACCTTGTCACACCATATCATGCCACACACCTGCCAAAGCGCACAGTTCGCGATTGCAGTTCAAAATTGAAGTTGGATTGCTCGTGAACAGGCCTCCAACCTGGGTCGCGATCGAAATAAAGATCACTGCGATGACCCAGGTTTGGGTATAGCGATTTAAACTACCAGTGCCTTATAAACCATCAAATCGAGTTACACAGCCGCACTCCACCCCTGAAATCTTCCATTTCCCCGCCCAAAACAAGAACATCCTGTTCACATATACCAACCGCTAAAAAGTCGACTGCGTCAAAATTATTGTTCAAGTATTGTAAGTACCTACACGTAATGTCGAGATGAGAAACGTTGATCTGGCCCATTCCGAACGAGCACTCCTTTTACAATTCCAACCACCATGCTAAATTTGTCGATCATTAGTTGTCGAACTGAGCTAGCGCCCAACAATGATGAACCGCACTGCATTCAAATCGATCGCCACCTCGAGTAAGAGTTGATGAGTAGCTAGTTGATCTGTAAGCACACCCACAGAACCCATCCTACTGTCCAAGGACTACAGCCGAATCCTCGCGGGGAGTGTTAGACTTCCGGGCGGACAGAGTTGGTAGTTCGGTGTTGGGGACAGGAAATAAAAGCAAATCTAGTACTTTTTTATATAAGAGATACAAGGTGATATAACTAAATTTTGGAAAGCAAATTTGAACAGCGCACGACAAATACAGATACCTTAAAAAAATTGTTAGCAACATTCACGAGGGGAAAGGTTTAGAAATTAGGCAAGGCATTTTCCCAAACTAATTTCAAAATATACAGCTCTGGAGAACGAATGCCTTTCCCTGAGGGAAAATGGATGGGGTTTTGGCCAAGGCACTGGAGGCGCTTTAACGAGGAACAACAAATTGAAAAATAATGGAAAGCAACACACGACACGCAAGCACTTCTTGTAAAAAGTGGCAAACAAAAATGATCTATGTATTAGCTAAACCTAAATGAAATATTACTTTTTAATACTAGCATAAAGTTAAAAACAAAACTAGATACGCTCCTTCGCAGCCAAGGAGGGGACAAACGGAATACTTAAGTTTAGAAGATCAGTTGATGGGAATGTGTATTTTAGAGTATTGCACATAATTCACAGAACTGGTAATTCAATATATGATAATGGTATATATTAAAAAGATACACACATTTATAAAAGTACATATACATTTATACATGAATATGTATGTTCTTACTATAATTAACAAAATTTAAACCGATACAGATACATCAGCCGGCATTTTGTAAGCGTGAAAACGAAAATATGGAAATAATAATATGGAATTAAAATAATAGATTATCCCAGATATTGTTAAATACTTTCTGGAAACGGAAAGGCGAACTTTGCCATGAAAATTTCTTCAGATCTGTTAGGAATATGTTGGAGTTATTTTGTAAGATGCCTTAAATTTCTCAACTCAAATTCTTTGAAAGGTTCGGAAAACTAAACTTGATAAATTCATATATTCCATTACATAACCTTCTAGCAGATGGACAAAAAGTCTCAATACATTTTTGAAAAAAAACAGGTTTGCTTCTAATATATAGCAATTTTTTTGTAATAATCAAATCTTATTTCCGATTAAAAACAAATGAAAACAAAAACCAAGCAATTTAAATTTGTTGACACTCTTAAAAACTAAAAGAAACACACACATGCAAACAAATTTTATAGCGAGAATACTGAATCTTTAAAGAGGATACGCCTATATATAATTAAATTTAGCGGTAATAACTTCTATACTTTTCAAGCCACTTTAATAAAAAGCAAACCTTATTTTTTAGCCTAAATCCCTTATTAAACTTAAAAAGAAAGTGAACAAATTAACAAGAGCACGCCTGAGAATCCCCTATTCAATATTATTAACCAAAGGATCCCGACATTGAATAACCCAGAGAAAAAAACGCAAACTAATTGTGGAAACATCAACCCAAGTCCAAATTTATATAGAATATTTTATACAAGGCAAAACATATACATATTGTAAAAAACGAGAAACAGTAACTAAAACCCAATCAGCAATTTCCAAGAATTGTATGTAAATAGTTTATGATATTTCAATTGTTACCAAATTATTTTGTTACGAACTTTGTAATATTCCTCTAATTTAATGGTATGATGGATGATCTTCTGCAATCTCTTCAGCCAAGTTTTGTTGTTTTTGTTTCCATTTTCCGCATTCAAATGTTGTTCACAATATGTTTTTGGAAAATACGTAGTTAAATGAAAGCTAAATTGCAAATAAAAGCAAATACAATAAAAATATTGAAAATAAATTGCACTCGTTTTATGTATGGGAGGGTAAAAGGTAATAAATAAATATAATAATAAATAATAAATGTGTAGGTAATTTCTTATCCAAAATTAAAGAATTTAAAAATCTCTAAGAAAAAAATAATAAGTATTAAAAGAGTTTTAACCGAGCATCAGGAGCAAAATATTAAGTTTTATAATCAGTCATTCATTTCATGATGTCATTAAGTTTCACCAAACCCTTCATAAATGCTTTTTAAGTTATCTACCATAACATATTCAATATATCGTAGGAGCTGGAAATATCGCATAGATCATAAATAGTATTGTTGAGTATGTATAATAAATAAAAAAAATAAACAAAAATTATTTATTTTGACAACAGTGCTGACGTTTTTAATCACAGGGTTGACCATGGGTTAAAATTGTTGTTTTTGCAATTATTGTTTTCGAAAACAACTCGCACACACACATCAAAAAAATCCAATCGTTCTAGAGAGAAAGAGAGAACTTAGGTTCCAAGTGGGTCTCCGCTCTTTGATCTTTCCAGTCGGCTATCACCAGAACAACAACATTCTCACTGCACTGGGAGAAGCATTCAAAGTCAGGTTCGATGGCCCGCCGTTCCCGCTCTCAAAGTCAGTTCAATTTGTTTGCTCAGTGGCGCAGATCGTATTTGGCGGAGAAAAGTAATTGGCGAAAATAAACACAATCGACCGGTTGTCCAGATTGTTCATTAACATTTTTAACCTTAAATCAATAATGCCACTGAATATCAAGAAAGTGCTGGTCTGCGATGCAGTGGACAAATCCTGCGTGGAGCTGCTGGAACAGCACGGGATTAATGTAAGTTTTCTAAATCCCCTGACGTGACATGCGATTATGTGCTAAGCTTACACCCATACAAGTGCTGTATGGTACAGTGCTCATTCGTAAAATAAAATGCATTTATTATTATTTTAAATTTAAAACGGTATAAACTGTAAGAACAAAATATGTTTGTTTGTCATTAAAACCACAATTTGAATATTAAAGATAAAGATAAAGTAATTAAAGATTAACAAATTTGGTTAAATTAAATTCCTTAAATTATTTCCTAGCTAGGCCACACTGTAAATGAATTTATAAGCATGTAAAAGCGTTTAGTATTGGGCAAACAGAAAATACTCCCACTTGCACATTTAATTGATTGCACAATTTAATCAACATTGTTGACCATTTATTTTTGTTTTTGACAAGGTTACCTACAAGCTGAAACTCCCTGTGGAGGAATTATGTCAGGAAGTTAAGGTAAGTGATGAAACAAATGCTAGTGCACACAAATGTGCGTATGTCTGTAAGAGACAACTCGGTGTAATTGAAAGCTCTCTAAACAATTCAAGAGCGGTTTAAAAACACGTGCCGTAAGGTAAAATATTGGTGCATTTACTACATAAATATGCTTGTAATTGTGGGTGCTAAGTATGGGCAACAAATCTCAAGAAGTCTTTAACTAAGCACTTGATTACACTAGTTCACAGCAAATTGTAGGAGTAAGGACACACACTTTGAATGGGCGAAAACTTAAGAATGTAACAGTCAGATAGTTTTGCAAGTAACTGGATTGAAAAATGCTTGCAATTAAAAATGTAAAAGCCTTATTGAGGAATAAATGGTACAGAATTGAGAGCACTTTAATTCGTCTTCAACACTGTGAACAACCTTTAATTTTATTATCGAATAAACAAAAGTCTAACAGAATATTTAAACCCACTTTTGTTGAGCTATGCCAGAACAACTGAATCAAAAGCATTTGTTCTAACAATTTATTTGAATTTGTTTCGTGTTGCAAGAATACAGCTTTCAATTTGAACAAGAATGTTTTTTACTATTTAAATCAATTCACGTCTGTATGGGCACGTAGCACTAATGCATATTTGCAATTTTATTTGATTTGGAAGGAGAGTTGTTATTTTCACAATTGCACAAAACAATTTGAAGGGTCAAAAGCCGTTCTCATTGAAAAAATGTTTTTGCCCTTGGTAACGAGATAAACAATTTAGCAAGACAAACATGTTTTTCATTTTCATTAAAAAATGTGGTACCCAGTAGTCAGTAAAGTGTATAATCGTCTAAGTCCAAAGATTTAAAAAAAACTTTATTATTTTTCAGAATGGAAAATTTAAATTAAATTAAAACTTTAACTAAAAATTATGTTTAATGATTATTAATTAAATGGGAGACCGATTGCGGCGCTAGACAATGTTATCAGCACTTTTGTTGGCCTAATCGAATAAATCTTATCAAAGCAATTGCCGATCAGACGATGTCGGCTCAACATTAACTGTATTGCTCCAAGTTATACCGAAAAATTCTGGAAGTAGGCAAGTGGTCCAATAAATAGAACCAAAAACTTTATGGCATACCAATAGATTTTCCAAGATAAATACTTATGGTTGAAGAAGTGATAAGGGGTATCAATGTCGCTTCTAGATGAAAACAGTAATTGGAGCACTTAGGTTTGTCCCCGAAATGGCTTAGGGAATTACATGGAAAATATTTATGTTTACGCAGTTGCTCATTACTAAATTACTCCGTTCCAGAATTTCGACGCTGCCATCGTTCGGTCGGATACAAAAATAACCGCGGAAGTCCTAGCCGCCGGAGCAGGCAGCCTTAAGGTTGTTGGCCGAGCTGGGGCTGGAGTTGACAACATCGATGTTCCTGCAGCCACGGCCAACAATGTCGTTGTCCTGAAGTAAGTGCTCCTTAAGCCCTTTGTGCAATGCACGGCGGGAAAAAGAATGCTCGCAACACTATGCAAAATGAGTATCTTTTTGGTTCAAGTTAAAAACAATCGCACGAAAAATATCTCAATTTTTATTATAAAATATACATTCATTATTTTAACTTTACACTTCTATTGGCATGGCTTGACTTGTAGTGTAAGTGGCTTATAATATGCATTTTTATAGTAATAACAGTATGTGTGGGCTGAATGGAATTATTTTTACCGAATGTTGAAATCGAACAAGTTATTATCCATCTTGTATAAGATTTTAAACTACCCAAAATACTTGTTTATAATTCGAAGGGAAAACGGAACAATTACCATAAGTAATAAGAAGAGTCTTCTCTCAGCCAATGTAATATTTATTTTTATTCCGATTTGTACAGTTCCAAAAAAAATAGAATAACATCGCTGCTGCAAGCCGAAAAAATATTAAACAAACAATGAGGATATATTTAAGAAGTTCTGACTTTAAGTGCACTATTTTTTTTTTTGTTAAAACCAATACAATTTTTGATTGAAACGGGAATTTGGGTTAAAAAACATTAAGATATATTTTTATTTACAACTCTTTTTGGGTTTGTAAACACCTTCGTTAATTTTAAAAAAAGCTTGTTCTAATAGATACTAAATTTCCGTCGTTTTTCTAATTAAATTTAAAGAATTTTGGCATGCAAGGCTTATATATTTATTAAAATATAAATTCTGTTGAATATTTTCAATCTACAAGCGCATTAAACGAATGTTGCATAGTGTAAGCATCGAATGCCCTGCGCCCAAATAATTATGCGCATTCTGAATCGCGGGATTGGCAGTTGCTATCGCATCGCAACGCCAACCAGAACCACGACTTGGGTCAATTGACGCCGTTTGACACGCATAATTAAGGAACGACGAGTGTCAACTGTGGCGATGTAGATGAACAATTAGGAGGTTGGGGGATCGGGTTTGTGTGTTGGGCGCGTCAATGTCAGATGGCCCACCAACCACATTGCCAAGGATACGGAGCAAAGCGCGAAAATTGCCATATTTTGCTCCCATCTTCTTTTCGGCGGCATTTGCATAATGCTGTCTAGTCACAACAAACGCCACCCTTTTCCCCAAAAAGCAAACCCAAACCGAGCCCACTGCCACTGTCTATCGAGCCATTTGGGGCATGTTTAACTAAACTCTCGTCGCTTTCAGCACTCCGGGTGGCAATTCTATTTCGGCCTGTGAGCTGACGTGCATCCTAATTGGCTCCCTGGCCCGTCCCGTTGTCCCCGCTGGCCAGAGCATGAAGGAGGGTCGCTGGGACAGGAAACTGTACGCCGGCACCGAACTCTACGGAAAAACCCTGGCCGTCCTCGGACTTGGACGCATTGGTCGCGAGGTCGCCATTCGCATGAAGACCTGGGGCATGCGGGTGCGTTGGATTGGGTATTTACTTTGGGCTAAATTTTAATCGAACTCCAAGTGCTCCCCAGATTATTGGATACGATCCCATCACCACGGAGGCGGAGGCCAAGGCGGCGGGCATCGAGAAGATGACGCTGGAGGAGATTTGGCCACTGGCTGATTACATAACCGTGCACACACCGCTGATCCCAGCCACCAGAAGTAAGTTAAACTTTTCTGTCTGATTAACTACAAGGTTTGTAGCGATAGCATCAGTTCCCTTTGATTGCTACACTTTGGTTGTTGGACAAAGTCTCTCTAATTTTAAGAGTTCTTTTACATAATTTCTCTTTTAATTAATAATGACAAAATGGTGTAAAATTTTATTTATTTATTTGGTAACAAAAAAAGATAAGTTAATCTACGAAAATAAATTTTCAATTAAAGTAATATGTTTTTTTTGTAAATTTAAAATCTGAGTTAAAATATTTCCCAATTCTATCTGGTCTGATATAGAAGCATAAAGTAATTTAACTTTTTAAATAGGAACTAAAATTGAAGCTATCTTTCTTTCTTATTTTTATTTAGGATACCGTATTCCAAACTAAATAAACTTAAAGAAAGACGAATTGCTCTCAACTCAAGAACATTAAAAGCTAAAATTTCATTAGGTAAAAATACAAATTATGTATATAAAAACAAATTTATTTTATTTGACTCGACTTTCATACTCTGATCAAATAAAAAGGCAATCAAATTTTCTTTTGTAAAACTGGTCCAGAGTAAGAAAATGTAAAATAATAAAGGCAAGGAATAATAATCGTTATTTCATGACATAATTAAAGACCAAATCAGGCATATAATTAGAAGAGTTTA